AGCAGCGCGGGCTGCTGGCGCTGACCGAGGCCCCTAGCACACATCTGCTCGCACACACGCACGGGCGCAGAGCCACGTGCCGTGATGAGGCAGCACATCCGCTGCACAGAGGTCACACGCACGCTCTCCGTGTGCTTCGGTCGTGACGGTGAAATGACGACCAGCCGCCCCACGCCCTGGGAACCCCGAACCGCTCCAGCACCTGTGTGTGCTGCAGACACCTCCACCCCTGGCTCTGACCCAGGGCTCTGGGGAAGGACCCACACGGTGCCTCCTGGAAGTCAGGAGAGAGCACAGCTGAGACATGCTCCTCGCTCTGGGGGGCTGAGGTTTCAGTCTAACGCCAGGACAGCAGGGCAGAGAGCTGTTTAGGGACCCTCTTCTAAGGCTGGGACACCAAGAGACAGTCCTGGGACCTGTGCATTTCTGCCCAGTTTGATTCAGGTGTCTACAGAAAGAGCAGCTGAAGACCGATACATAGCTGCACCTCCCTGCAGTGCTGTGGAGGTGGCACAGGATGGGATAGCTCAGGTCTAGCTCTGGCTGGCATAGAGTCCTCTCCCTGCCCAGAAACCACGTGCTGCCAGCCACGGAGCAGCCCAAACATGCACGTGAAGTCATCGCTTGCTGCCTGTCTTCACGCCCCCATTGCTATCCCCCACTCAGCGGAGGGCCGAGAGTTGATCCAGCCCGCAAGGCAGACCAGCCCAGGTCTCCCGCCCAGGCTGTTCCCTCAACTCCACGGCAGCTTCTTTCCTGGGGTAGCACCTTCACTGACAGACACAGGGGATCCGTTCGTACCTGGAGCTCTGGCACCTCTGGGCTGGGCTGGCAGGGCGAGCCGCACTGGAGCCCCATGCCCTGCACGCCCTGCACGGTGTCCTTCTGCGCGGCGGCACGGGCAAGCACGTCTCTGTTAGCCCAAGGCTGCCTGGACTGCTGCGCTGAGCTTTCCTACCTCCCAGCCACCCACATCTTCCCTTTAAATGGAAACATGTAGCATAGATTGCAGTTACCAGCCCCAGCACCTGTCCTTCCCACCCCGACCAGACCCCCTCATCCTCTGCCGGAGGTGCTGCCCTTACCGGGAAGGGCCAGCCACTGTGCCATTACGGACGCCGCCTCCTCCTGCCCCTTCTCCCTCCGGCCCCACGAGCCCAAGCCTATGGGCCTCGGGTGCGGGGTGGAGGGAGCCCAGCTGGAGGGAGCATTCAGCAACTCGGTGTCCCACAACGTTCACAAACGTGTCCTTAAACCTAGAAGAGATGGGAGGAAAAGCCACAGTCAGGGAAAGACACCCAGCGGCAGCTGCACCCAGACATCGAGGCTACGAGCACGCGCAGTCCCACTCCCCGGGCGCGGGTCTCTGAGCAGCAGCTACAGGCTCAGCCGCTCTGTGCGAAGTCAGGCGAGCAGAGCCATTTTCGGTACCACCCCAGCAGAGCTCACCCCCCTCTGCACGAGAGCTGCTCTATCTACCCTCAGCGCACAGGTCCCAGCTCTGCCCACTCACTGCGATGTGAAAGCTCCTTCCCAACAGCATATTGACACATTTTTAGGGCAACCAAGGGTCCATTCCTCAGTATGTCAGTGCCCTTGCGCTTCCAGACATCTCCACAGCTATGAGATCTTGCAGTTACACAGCCTGCACCCACAGAGGAGCCTATTCCCAGACTGAGCCTGACCAGGGAGATCTCCCAGCACTCCCGTTTCGGAGCTGACTGCAGAGTCAGAACTGAGCTCCTCACTAGTGAAGGATGCGAGGACATTCTGCAGCCTGAAAGCTTTTCGGACACCTGCAGAACAGCACAGGAAAACGAGGTGCTGTGTCCTGCAGCTGCAACTACCCAATCACTGACACATAAAACTACATCTCAGCAGCCAGTTAAACTGACTAATAAACTCCTTGAAGATGGAATTCTTTTTAGAGACCTACAGGTGACACTAGAAATGCCTACCAGAAGGGAGCCACAATGCCCAGCTGGGCTTCGTTCAGCCCGATGCTGAATTTGGGGTTCTCCACCATGATCCTGTAGTCACACGACAAGGCAATGAGACAGCCCCCCGCCGGGCTGGACCCCTGGCAAAGAGAGGGAAGGAGAGAGTCCAGGTCAGCCCTCGTGTGCTGGTTACAAACGTGCCCCGCACCCCCAGCCGCGCTGCATCCTCCGGAGCAGGGAAGACACGGGGTGACAGAGCTGCCCAGGACAAAGCAGACGTCGCCCCAGGTCTCTGACCACCTAGTTCAAAACAGCCACTAAAGAAGACTTCTGGTACATTTACCAGAGTCAATACTTCCATTTTTCAATGCTCTTTGTTTCTTGCATTTTCCAGCCTGGAAATCTAATTAATTGATCTGCGTTACTCAGGTTGCAAACCCCGCAGTGGCGTTTTCTCGTAACCCTACCCGAGTTTTTAATCCTACTTGAGTTTGTAACCCTAGCTGCCACAGAAACAGGTCTGTCCAGGGGCTTTGTAACACTTTCCGTCTATAAAACTTCCATTTGTGGCCACCTTCGCCATGACTCGGTGCCTGCTTAGCCCTGCGCAGGATGCCTGTGGGAAGCCACTCGGAGACACAGCTGCATTCAAGCACAGTCTCCGGACAGACATAGAACCGCGAGCTGCCGAAGCGGCACTGAAAAACGAACACAAGACACCAGGTAACAGCACATCTACGGATGCTGAGATTCAGGCAGGAACTCCCTGCTGGCCAAGAACCACGGCTGGAGGAGCAAACCTTGCTGAAAAAGGGGCCTGTGACAAACCGCACCGCCCAGCATCCGAAGCATCGCTGCCACAGGGCCGAGGGCGAGCACTTCTCGCACTGCGTGGCTGCCTCCCACCTCCTCCCCTGCCGGAGCAGTGCAGCGGCCAAGCAAGTGACCCTGGGCAGCTCCTACCAGCTTCAGCAACGAGAAAGCAGCTGGTGGGCACGTGATGGGCGTCCTTTGGACTCCTCCTATGCCAACTGCTGGCGTCTCCGGCACTCGTCTGCCAGCGATGCCCTTCTGGGCTTCACCACTGGCCTACAGCCCCCCTCCTGGCCCCCCAGCC